CCTGCAACCAATTGTGTGAGATTCAACAAAGCTTGTCTGTGCCACCCCAAGACTCCACCCATCCAAGCAGAATACAGAAACCCTCCTAGCTGAGACACTTCTGATCCTCATAGCCAATTGGCTTGGAGATCAACACTTCCCAGTAATACCAACAACAAGCAAGGCTTAACAACAAGACTGCACACACAGCCCACAAAGGGTTACACCAAGTCTGTCCACCTCAGGTAACTGGGAGGCTGACCCACTGAACCATATAGGACACCTTAGCACACAAAGCCACCCTACCAACTCAGGAAAGCTGTGAAAATGCCAAGACAAGGAAATAGATCACAAACAAGAGAAATGGAGGAAAAGAAGAGACTGGATATAGAGTTCAAAACCACGCTTATAAGGTTTTTCAAGAATTTCCTAGAAAAGGCCAATAAAATAAATGAGACCTATGAGGATATGAAAAGGGATCCACTACAAATAAAGAATACATTGTCTGAAATAAAAAATATTACACAGAGTCCTAAAAACAGAAAGGAAGATCACAAGAATCAAGTCAAAGATTTGGAACATAAGGAGCCAGAAGACACTCCTCCGCAGAAGCAAGAAGGCAAGAGAATCCAGAAAGTTGAAGATAATGTAAGAAACCTCTGGGACAACTTCAGCGAACCAACATCAGAATTATGGGGGTCCCAGAAGATGAGAGACAGCAAGATATTGAAAACATACTGAAAGAAATAGTGACAGAAAACTTCTCCCACCTGGTGAAAGAAGTAGACTTACAAGTCCAGGAAGCACACAGAACTCCAAACAAAAGGAATCTAAGACACATCATAATTAAAATTCCAAGAGCAAAAGACAGAGAGAATATTAAAAGCAGCAAGAGAAAAGCAGGTAGTTACCTATAAAGGAGTACCCATACGATTGTCAGCTGATTTCTCAACAGAAACCATGCAGGCCAGACGGGAATGGCAGGAAATATTCAAGGTGATGATAGCAAGAACCTACAGCCAAAAATACTCTACCTAGCAAAGCTATCACTCAGAATCGAAGGCCAGATAAAGAGCTCCACTAATAAAAAATAAAAAATAAAAAGCTATAGGAGTTCATCACTGCCAAACCAGAATTATATGAATTGCTGAAGGGGGTTCTTTCGGAAAAGAAAGTAAATAAAGATAAAAACTATGAACAACAAATACCTAACTATCAACAAGTGAATCTAAAAACCAAGGGAATTAAAAAAAAATCTGATGAACAATATTAACTGGTGAATATAATAGAATCAGAGGTATGGAAGGGGAGTGGACTGACGATTCTCGGGGAAAAGGGGAGGAGGGGGTGTGGGAAGAGATTGAACATAAACTGTGCACCTATGAATGAGGACAATGGGGGTGGGGAAAGGGCAGAGGGTGAGGTGGGAACTTGGTGGAGGGGAGCAATGGCCCGGGGGGGGGGGGGGGGGGAGGAAGATGGAGGGGGGAATGAGGAACATTTGTAATAACATGAACAATAAAGATTTATTTTTTTAAAAAAAAGTTGTTTGCACTCCTCCTTTCCACCCTTTGGCTCACACTTGCAATGAAAACATTAAATTAAACTATAGCAGGCTTGCTGCGCACAAAGGTGAGGGAAGTGCTGCGCAAGCTACAAAATCTGATGGTTAGCCTAAGTGAGTGTGCATTTTAAAGTTCATTCTATTATATAGAAGGAAATGCTAAGGAAGCTTGCTGTGCAAATGTCACTTAAAAGCAGATTTTAGAAACTAGGAATGCATTGTAGGTTGGGGAGTTTTAGTGACAACTTAGTCAAAGTAACAAAATACACAAATGGTTTTATTATATACTTTTATACTTGAATGTCTTGCTTATTATGATTTGATTTGAGAAAATAAACTTTGTAACACAACCAGAGTTTTATTTACATATTATATATTTCCCTTCTTTGTGGAGAAACTTATTTCAAGAAAGGAATAATTGGTTGAGAGGAGAAAATAGTATAGTTTATTAAGGAAACTTTAAAAAAAGATAGTGTGTCATGGTTGAGCCCACAATGGTTGTAATGGTCAATACCATAAACAAACACCCCCTCTATTCTTTTTTGTGACCCTGAAGTCACAAATTATCTCTAAGATATGAGTCATTCCTTTTTCTGAAGAGTCAGGTTGCTGTTTAGCATTCCTCTTATTTATCTTAGGCCAAACCTCAACAATGACAGAAGAAACTGATTAGCCCAAAACTTAGCAAAGGAAATAAATATATATTGCTTTCAGAAAGTCCTTCTTAGTTATAAACAACAGAGCTCTTCTGAAATTTAAATGACCATAGACAGCTGTACTGACTAATGTTGCTGGGTAGCACCATCATGAACTATCGATATTTCCCTAGCCTTGACATGTAAGGAGAGAAAGAGAGAAAAGAAGGAAGGAAAGGAGGGAGGGAAAATAAATATTAAAACCTTTAATGTTTTTTACTAAGACTTAAAATAAATTATCATTTCAATTTGTAATTGAAATAAAAATATTCACACCTTTACTTTTTGCTTAAAAAAGGAAGGAGGGGGTTCGTTTACATAATGGTAACAAAGTGGCCTTGAAGTTGCATTGATAATAATACATAACTAATGTAATATACTAAATAAAATAATAAGGTTAATTTCTGTCCTGCTGTCACTAAATTCATACTAACAGTCTCTCTTCAGCTTGACATCAATTAGTGATTTCATTCCAGACTCTTGTCATAGTGTTCACAACCCTTTTCTCTAATTAAGATGGATGTTGCATGATGAAGATAAAACATACAAGACTTCTGTTCCTGTAACGTTTCTATTCATGAAGATTTTTGATTTTATAATAAATGGTTTTATCACTAACTGCATTGGAGTAAGATGAGAATAACTATTTTATGACTATGAAGTAAAATCTTTTTATGTCCAAAAAAGGAGTGACCAACTCCTCAGGATGGAAAATCAATTGCATACTTAAATTACTCCATTTTATTCCAAACACTTCAATTTCTAAAGCTTAAGAAACTTCAATTCAAAAGGGAGAGGGAGAGAGAGAAAGAGAGAGAGAGAGGGAAAAGCTTTCAATTATAGAAGATACATAAATCCCCACAGATATGGCTGCCGCCAAGGAGCAAGCAAAAGGTGTGGCTCCGCTCCAGGCTACAAAGTTTCAATTGTAAAAGGTAAATAAATTCCAGATACAGGGCCTCTGCTTGGGTGGACAGGGGACATGGCCAGCCTGCAAACCACCACAGCCCCTCATCCAGGCCACCCCACACCCTAAGGGAACTCCCACCCTGATCTGGGACACCCTTCAGGGCAAACCAGCCGGCCCCCTCCCATGAACCAGGCCTCTATCCTATCTAATAAAAGAGTAATATGCAGATTGACCATCACTCCAACAGATGGTCAAAAATCCTACCCCCATGTGGACACAAGATGGCCACCACGAGATGGCCAGCAGGGGAGAGTGGTTGGGAGGGACCAGGCCTGCAAGGAAAGGCAGTTGGGGGTGATCAACCCTTCAGGGGAGGGCAGTTAGGGGTGACCAGGCTGGCAGAGTAGGGAATTTGGGGGTAACCAGGCCTACAGGGAAAGGCAGTTGGGGGGACCCCGGCCTGCAGGGGAGAACAGTTCGGGGGAGCAGGCCTGCAGGGGAGGATAGTTGGGAGGACCAAGCCTGAAAGAAAGGGCAGTTCGGGGCAATCAAGCCTGCAGGGGAGGGCAGTTGGGGGGTGGGGAGGACCAAACCTGAAAGGAAGGGCAGTTAGGGGCAATCAAGCCTGTAGGGGAGGGCAGTTAGGGGGACCAGGCTGGCAGAGGAGGGAAGCTGGGGGCAAACAGGCTGGCAGAGAAGCAGTTAGACATCAATCAGGCTGGAATGGGAGTGGTTAGGGGGTGATCTGGCTGGCAGGCAGAAGCTGTTAGGGGCAATCAGGAAGGCAGGCAAGCGAGCAGTTGGGAGCCAGCAGTCCTGGATTGTGAGAAGGATGTCCAACTGCCCGTTTAGGACCGATTATATCAGGATTGGGCCTGAACAGGCAATCGGACATCTCTAGAGGGGTCCCAGATTGGAGAGGGTGCAGGCTGGACTGAGGGACACCCTTCAACCTGTGCAGAAATTTCATGCAGAAGGCCTCTAGTTTTTCTATAAAAAGGTTAATTTTTAAAAGTGAAGCTGTTTCTATGACAATGTGTGACCTAAATGCAAAGGTTACCTGAAATTACATGGATTCTGATTCTGATGTCAAAATTCTGAGAACTTGAACACTAAGTTTGAAGCCAACTGAGTAAACACTCTTTATTTCTTCCAGATGCATGCATCTACTGTCTTTACTGTCTTACTACCTCCTATGCAAAATGGCTTAGCTAAAACCAATAAAATCAATTGTAATGCTCCCCCAAAAAGTACCCTATTTTCTGGCATATAAGACAACCCACTAATTTTACAGTTAAAACATAGGTTTGGGCCTATATTCGCTGTATAAGACTACCCCCCACTTCCGAGGCAACACCAGTTCTTTTTTTAATAGACCGCCTCTCTGGCCAATCTGAGCAGGCTTTTTTTCGTTTCAAAAGTCATCTTATATGCCGGAAAATACGGTAAGTTTTTCTTTCATTTGAACCTTTTTTTTTTTTTTTTTTTTTCATTGTATTCATCCCATAACCATCAGTATCTGGATTCATGCAGAAAAAATAAAAATCAATTCAATGTAAAATTTTTACTTTTTTTTTTTAAAATATAAATTTTAGAAAGAGGGAGAGAGGGAGAGAGGAATATTTGATTAGCTGCCTCCCGCACATACCCCCACCAGGGAGTGAACCCTACAACCTGGATATGTGCCCTGAATGGGAATCAAACCAGCCACCTTTTGGTGTACAAGACAACGCTCTAACCAACTAGGCCACACCAGCCAGGGCCAAATTCTTTATATTAAAAAAAAAAAAAAAAAGAGTAGAAAGAAAAGAACCTCTATCTAATGAGGTTTAATCAAATAACTGATATCTACCTCTCCTGCTCCTGCTTCATTCGTATTCTCTCCTCTTCTGAAGTAAGGGAGTCCTGTATTTTTATCTTACTTGTTTTCTCAATCTTGTCATCTTTTCGATGTTTGCCAAACCTGTTGACAACAAAAAATTCTAACTTGTCAATATATCCAAAATAAGTTCTTCTTTTGTGATAAAGACATATATACCCAATAAATGTGAGCTCCCTAAAAATCAGGGCCAAACTGTCTCCTGTGGTTTGCTAGTTTTGCCCAGTATTAACATTTAACTTGATTATTTTATTCCTTTTTTATTAAAACTTGCCAGGGAAAACTATTTTGGAAAATGACCTCAATATCCATTTTTTGTTTTGCAAAACAAAAATAAACAACAATACAATAATAGAACCCTTAATTTCATTCTTATTAAACAAATCCTACCTAATGAAAGAATAATATGAAAATTGACTGTCACTCCAACATACAAGATGGCTGCCCCATTTGGTCAAAGGTGGCTTGCCCCATGTGGACACAAGCTGGCTGCCACATGATAGTCGTTAGGGGAGGGCAGTTGTAGGCAATCAGGCCAGCAGGGGACAGAAGTTGGGAGGGACCAGGCCTATAGGGGAGGGAAGTTGGGGGGGACTCAGGCCGACAGGGGAGGGCAGTTAGGGGTGACCAGGCCAGTAGGGGAGGGAAGTTGGGGGCAACCAGGCCTGCAGGGAAGGACAGTTAGGGGCAAACAGGTTTACAAGGGAGGGCAACCAGGCCTGCAGGGGAGGGCAGTTAGGGGTGATGAAGCCAGAGAGGGAGGGAAGCTGGGGCAACCAGGCCTCCAGGCTAAGACAGTTAGTGGCAAACAGGCTTGCAGGGGAGGGCAACCAGGCCGGCAGGGAAGAGCAGTTGGGGGCAACCAGGCCTGCAAGGGAGGGCAGTTAGGGGTGATCAGGCCAGCAAGGGAGGGCAGTTAGGGCAATTGGGATGGCAGGGGAGCAGGTAGGTGTCAATCAGGTTGGCAGGGAATAATTAGGAGGTGATCAGGCTGGCAGGCTGAAGCAGTTAGGGTCAATCGGGCAGGCAGGTAGGCGGGTGGTTGACAGCCAGCAGTCCTGGATTGTGAGAAGGTGCAGGCTTGGCTAAGGGACACCCTTACCCCATGGACGAATTTTATGCACCAGGCCTCTAGTAATTAATAAATGTGTAGGACTGAGTGCCCAATACTTCAGATAATGGAGGATAAAAGTCTGAATTGGAGCAGTTTCTGTTAGGAAGAGAGAATGATAATACACAGTCATCTGTGTAATAATCTCTGTATAACAACTATTCTTTATTTTCATAATCAAGTTTATTGGAAACTTTCATGACAGTTTAAAAACTGACAAACCAGACCATGGCTGTAAAATTTAAAGTACAAAGGATAATTTACAGTGCTATAATACTTTTAGCTTACAAAATTGAATTCTCATCAAATTCTTTTCCTAAATCTGATGGAAAGCAATTGCTGAAGGTAGACTCTTTAACCTGGAAATCTATATCTGATTAAAAACAACAACAACACAAATGCATGATTCAAAAACAGTCCAAACCAACTTCCACAGATAGACACTGAGCTTGAGGCTCTCTAAGAAAACACTAAGCAATGTCAGCCTTAGTACCAATTCCTTTCCTGATCTTTTATTTTCTCCAATAAAAGACCATGTTGTCTGTACACTTATGCTACATACCCTCAAATAATCTTGATCTATAGTGATTTGCTTTCCAGAAATATTTTATAGACAGTTACTCATAAGCATTCATAAATAAGTATACTGATATTTCTACCTGAGGAACCTAGTTTTGGTGACAATCATATGAAAAAAGAGAGAAGTGAAGGGTAAACTCAAGTTTTAAATAAAAGAAAGAAAAGTATTTCAAGTAATGGATTGGTTAGTAGAATAGGTCATTATTTTATTAACTAGAGGCCTGATTCACGAAATTCGTGCAAGAGTAGGTCTTCCTTTCCCCAGCTGCTGGCATCTGCTTCCCTCTGACATCCAGGACCCGGGTTTCCATAATAGCCCCAGCTTCATCTGGAAAGTAATTGGGAAGAATGTCTGATCTAATTAGCATATGATGTTTTTATTATTATATAATAGATATAAATCTGATGATAAATATTGGTTGATGTGTGAAGTGTGCATGACAATATCTCATATTCTGCAAATGTATGTAAGGAAAAGAAAGCATCCTTAAAAGTGTTAAAATAGAAAAGTTAAAAAAACCACCACCACCACCACCATTACTTTAAAAAGTATGTAAGAGTACTAGATAGCACTCAAAAATGGATTTAAAATTAGGGCAATTGGGATGGCAGGGGAGCAGGTAGGTGTCAATCAGGTTGGCAGGGAAGTGATTAGGAGGTGATCAGGCTGGTATTCTATAAAATACACTGAGTGGTCAGATTATGATGATCTCTGAACACATAGTAATCTGGCCACTTGTGTATATCCTATATAATAAAAGGATAATATGCAAATTTCGCCTCGACCAGGAGTTTGACCAACAGGCAGGTTGGCCAACTGCCTATGTCCCCTCTTCCTGGCCAGGCTGGATCCCACCCATGCATGAATTCATACACCAGGACTCTAATACACACACACACACACACACACACACACACTGAGAGGCCAGATTATTATGCATTCAGAGATCATAATAATCTGGCCACTCAGTGTATGTCTACACTTAAATTTTAATGTTACTTAGAAATTAGAAGATCATTTCAATTGAAAAAAAAAGAAAAGAAATAATCCCAAGAATTTAAGTCCAGCATCTAAACAATTCTAATGGGGGATAAAATATACTTTTAAAACTATTATATTCAAACCATTTTTTGGCTTTAAAATATATCTTTATTAAAGTAATGTAACCAAATGGGAATAGCTATACATATAAAGTGGTAATATGCTAATTTGTCCTTTACAATGTCCCAGTCACGACCAGTCTGTGGGCCTGCGTGTGTCCCTGCCCGTGTCCCTGCCCAGCACTGATATGAAGCTGCCTGTGTGCATCCCTGTTCTGCGCTGATGTGATGCTGTAGGGCACATGTGTCAAACACAAGGCCCGCGGACCAAATCCGTCCCGCCAGGCCTTGCAATGTGGCCCGCACCGCGCTGTCATCACTGCACTCCACTGCGTTTCCATCACAATGACAGTTTATGACTGTTCAGTAAACCATTCGGCCCGCGATTTAGGCTGGATTTTAGATTTTGGCCCCTTCTCTGATTGAGTTCGACACCCCTACTGTAGGGGGTGGAGGGAGGAGCTGGACTTGACAAGGGGCCTCAGGCGGTGCCCCTCACCCAGCTAGGCTTGACAGGAGCCTCAGGCTGCACCCCCCGCCCCAGCTATGGGCCAGGAGACCTCAGGCCATGCCCCTCGCCCCGGCACTGGGCCAGGAGACCTCAGGTTGCACCCCCTGCCCCATGGGGCTTGATGGGGGCCCTCAGGCCACACCCCTTACCCCAGCACAGGCCCGAGCTACCTCAGGCCACGTACCCCACCTGGCAGGGCTTGACAGGGGATCTGACTGGAGGGGCTTGACGGGGGTGGGGATGGGCGGGTCTGGGTCTCACCCAATGGGAGTGGGGCCAGCGGGTCTTGGTCTCCTGTGTTTTCAAAGTGCATGCAGGTGGTGGGTGGGGACTTGACTCTAGGTCATGTGGCATGCCCCAGACTTTGACAGGAGGAAGATTTTATACACATTTTGTTAATTTTCTTTCATCTCTGATACTTCTATTATAGAGAAAGGGCAAATAGCAATATTAAAATATTTCCTCTAATTAATCCCATTTAAATGTGCACAAATTTTGGGCACCTGGCCACAAGTATCAAATAATAGTATTTTAGTATAATTAGCAAGTTTGTCCTTTTTACTCCTTATTCCCAGTTATATTTTCTGGTTAGTTTCTTTATTAACTTTTTTTTTTCTTTATTGATTAAGGTATTATATATGTGTCCTTTTCCTCTCCTTTCTCCCAACTCATGTCCTCACCCCCCTGGTTACTGTGTCCATTGATTAGGCTTATATGCATGCATACAAGTCCTTTGGTTGATCTCTCCCCCTTACTACCACCCTCCCCTACTTTCCCTCTGAGGTTTGACGGTCTGGATGTGCTTTTGTTCATCAGTTTATATTGTTCACTATATTCCATAAATGAGTGAGATCATGTGATATTTATCTTTCTCTAACTGGCTTATTTCACTTAGCATAATGCTCCCAAATTCCATCCATGCTGTTGCAAATGGTAAGAATTTCTTCTTTTTTATAGCAGCATAGTATTCCATTGTATAGATGTATCAGTTCTTTTAATCTACCCATCTGCTGATGGGCACTTAGGCTGTTTCCAAATTTTAGCTCTTGTAAATTGTGCTGCCATGAACATAGGGGTGCATATATCCTTTCTGATTGGTGTTTCTAGTTTCTTGGGATATATTCCTAAATAAAAACTTTCTCTTTCTTTATTTTTTTAATCAATAATGTTTAAAAGTTAAGCATAATGATGGAGTTTACAGAATGAATGAATATTTAAAAGTGTATACATCTCAGTCCAAGTCAATATCTAAAACATAATGTATGTTTATTTGACAAAAATTTATTGAACATCCACAGAGCATTAAAAATAAAAACTTTATTTAAAAAAAATAGTTCTTGGGAGAGGACAGGGCTAAACAGATTAACTACAGTGTCATCAGCATGTAGACAGTATATGAAGCCCATGTAAATTTCAATCTTAAAAATTCTGCAACAATGAGGCATCTGGAAATATATAATGTATTAATTTCTGGGATTTTTTTGTCAAATGGCGGAGTAGGCAAAGGAGGTGCTCGCCTCCTCCCATACCTACAATCACATCAAAATTACAACTAAGCTATAGAACAACTATCATTCAGAACCATCTAAAATCTGGCTGAATAGAAGTCCCACAATTAGGGAATCAAAGAGCTGCATGGAGACTGATAAGGAGTGGGCGGTAGAGACTGAGAACAGGCTGGCCCCACACCTACTTGTGGCAGTTTTTAATTGGGAGGGATATCTTGTCTGCAGAGGTTCCCCAAGAAACCAGGGGTCCCTCAGCCTCTTCATCAGCCCAGGG